GAGTGGAACATAGGGCTTCGACAACACATCCCAGCTTTGTCCTATTCTCTGCGGTCCTCTTCAACTGGCCCCACGGTCGCTCATAGTTTCTGATCTTCCCCTCGCACAATCTCCACGTCACTCTCGGACGACCCACTTATCGTTTCCCATTGGGGGCCTGGCGCGTGATGTCATTTGACAGTTTTCTCGGTGTGCGCCAAGTCCATCTCCATTTCTTCGGAATATTCATTATTGAGCAATAGGTTCTTGGGCCAAGTTAAACTTTAAGCACCACTAACTACCAATGGAGTTCGACCGCACTTATGAACTTGTAACGCTAACTGGCAAATAATGCTGTCATCATCGATGAAATATGCTCACCGAAGTGTTATACCGTTAAGTGGGATATCTCACAAGTTGCAGCTTAGGTTTGGGAACGAATAATTTACCTTTCAAGCCAAGGACAAGTTAGGGTTAGGTTAACTTAATAAGGGCGACATAAGAGTTGGTTCGAGTTAGAATATGGTTAAATTAATGTGTTGGTATAAGAATAGAACTTGTGCACTGTGGCAGAGTATAATTCCATTGTGCGTGGTGCTTAAAGTCTAACTTTGCCAGTTCTTAGTTGGTTTTTTTCTGGTTGCTAATTCTTTCTGGCTGGCTATCTGATCGACAATATGGAACCAGCGAAGACAGCTGTTGATAAAAGTCTGCAGCTTATTCGAAATGCTTTTTGTGACGCTCACGACAGCTTTCTGACCTATATAGAAGTGACCTAAAATTTGTGTTGAAAATCCGAATCTTGATCTTTATGCTGAGTGCAGAAGATTTATAAACTGATTTCAGATTGATGAAGGTGCATCTTGCCTTTCCAATTCTGGCTTTTTCATTTTCATCTGTTCCACCTGTAGTTAAAACGACGCTTCCTGGATAAGTGGATGAAGTAATCCCTTCCGAATTTCTTCCATTGGCAGTGATTGGTGCTGTTTGTTGTTGCTGTTGGTTGGTTATCTTCATCATCCCCGTCTCCTCCATGTTCACTAGAAGTTCTATCTTCCGTACCTACCTACACTGTCTGCCAACTTGTTGGTTTTCTCCTGTAAGTCTTCGAATTTATGTGACATCAGACATAAATCTTTCGCAAGGACCAAATCTCCTACATTCTTCTTGCCTGTCCAACGTATTTCTGTCTTCTCGCTCTCCACGTACGGTGTGGCACATAATCCGGCTCACCAGAATTAAGAATAGCATCGGTGATAGTGTGGTGAGAGCGAGCTGCTAGCCAATTGGTAGACATTGATCTACGCTGATTGGTGGAAATTAATCCAGGCTGATTTAACAACCGATCACAGCTGACCTAGACGTGGACAAATATGATTCGCAGACAAGTGGCTCGCATTTCCGAGAAATATCGAAAACGAGAAAGCAGAAGAAGACTGCCTTTGTTTGCGAACAACCAATCAGAAGACCGCCTTCTTTCTGCGGGCAGAGCCTTATTAATGTACGTAAAATACATATAAATACCTGTTGGTTTTTGTAATAAAACTGATCTGTTGCCTGGCCCTTGTCTTCTGTTGTTACAATAGTAGGCAGCCAGCCTTATATTACTCCTGTGTTCACTTCAAACGCCTCGCTGAGTTTTTCGCTGTGTATCACCTGAGACGTGGCATTGTCATATAACCAAGTGTTGAATGAGGTTGATAAATATTAGGCGCACTCTATAGTATTGTAATGGTTTCCACATTACTTCACGGTCAAAGCTGTCGAAGGCCTTTACAAAGTCGATGAACTTGAGGTAGAGGCTTGACTGCTGTCTTATGCTTGTTCGATGATGATGCATAGAGTTGCAATTTGATCAGCACATGAATTGCATGGATTCGGATAATGTGACCTAATTATATAAACTAATGATTTTAGCTATCCAAACAATGGTACTTAGTTGCCATCTACTTTCTCGAGAATGGTGTTAATAAAATGTAAGTTTTTTGTAGGGATTTGATTGGTTTCAAAATATGATCATGGATCGATATCAGTTAGGCAATCACTGAAAACCAGCGAGGAGTACTGGACAGTTGCTTAGTCTTAGTTTGAGATTCTTCAGCAGTACACACCCATGACTCCACCGGGAATTGAACCCAGAACTTTCACGTTACGAGGTAAACTCGTTGAACATTTAGCCACTGGCACCCGACTCAATGGCCCATGAATTCTAACTTCTACCAATTCGTGATTTTAGCACGACCACCAGTCAATGTCATCGGCGAGTATTTGCCGTCCATACCCGACCTGGTGGACCCTACTACTGGTCACAAACTCCAGATAGCTTCATCGTGTAGTCAGTAAACAGGGAAGGAAATTTTCTTTTCGACGATTCATTTTCATTAGCTGTATAGCCGTAATTACACTTAACAAATAAATCATATAGTGACAAAATATGTCCTCGCAAAAAGTATTACGCAATGTAAGGTGTAACCTAGAAGGGTGACTAACTGGAAGTAAGAAAAGAGGCAGAAGTTGGCATGACGTAACAAGTGTGACAAAATGACTAATCAATATGATTGTGTAGAATTTTAAAGTGTTAGCTTAGAGGGAGGGGATGATTCGATTGGTTTCAAATTTGATCACGGATTATTGCCTGAATTATCGACGATATCGAAAGATGACATTTTGATCATTTGTAATGATCACTTGCATACATGTTAATTACGATTGAACTTGTAACGGATTGGTTTAGAGTTCGAAGTATCGCCACCTAGTGGATCACAGCTTTAAATCCTAGTCTTCTTACTTCACTTCTTGCGGTACAGTAGAGAAAATAAGCTATAAGACAACAAGTATGACTCTACAATTATTCTACAGAAACTGAATAGTTTACTCATAATGGATTTTTGAAACTATGATTCAACCAGTGAGTCAAAAGTTTCATACCTCGACTGGTATTACAATCTACTGTGTAAATCCCCGAAAATATCTGACCAATAAAAGGAGTGAGGAAGCTCATTGTGGCAAATACATAAGCGAATTGGGAGGTATTAGACACAACCGTTTATAACGATAAATGCTTTGGACTGATAAGTCAAAAGGACATGACCTTCTACCGATTCAATTTGACAGTCTTAGCAACAGAATACAAGGTGCATTTCGGAACCACAAGCCGTCAAAAAAAGCAAGGGACCTGCATTCAAGATGAACGGCAGAATGTGAATTAGACGCGTCAGTGGTTTAATGATGCGGGAGGTCCAGGTTCGATTCCCAAACCTCACCTAGTTTACTGACCGATAACAAACCAGGAAAAGAGGAAAGATTGGGCGTGAGGTTTACAACCCATCCCATAGAAACAACACATCTAATGAAACTTCAAAGCTTGAAGAAGCCACTTGGAACGCAAGAGATGAAGAAAAATGTTGCTATATGTATGCATGAACGGTTCATCCATGAGTATCGCCAAATTAACGAATCACTAATCTCATTAAAGTGATTCACAAGCTCCTTTGTCTGATATGGATGCATTTAATCTTATTGTTCTCATCATCACGTACGTAACAACGTCTCTTCATCAGAAAATGTAATGAAACATCAACAATCCACTTTCAAATATTAAATCCTATCTACTTATAAGTAGGGCTTAGTGATTTCAATGAGCAAGGTGGTTACAGTACGAAATTACTGTCTAGATTAATTCAGATGTCTGTCTGTTTTCAACAGAGAACTTTGTACCGATGTGCAGCAGTTCAAGTCGCCACACTCCATGTAGCACACAAAACAAGAAAAGAAAGTAGAAGAAATGCAAAATAGATACAGTAGACAGGGATATGAGGCAAAAGGAATAGCAACAATGAAGAACAAAATAGTTTCAATGGAAATTATAAGTAATCTGGAGTGGAGGCACCTGCACCACTGAGAACCATATCACAAATTGTCTCCACTCATTGGTCTTTACCATCCCAAGGACCCCATCCAGTCAGGAAGTCTACATCTTATACGTGGCTTAAACTAACTTTTGTGGCTTTCATTGACTGCCGAAGCCACGTTTTGATTTGACAACCAGTGGCTCTTTTCCAACTTGACCTTATATCAGCCAACATTTCCCGTCGAGGAAGGCTATGGCTAGGCATGAGTAACACATGTCTTAGCCATCTTAATGGGTGGAACTTCATAGCCTCGTTTATTGATTCCCCATCCTCACCTAGCACTCGACGCCTAACCTCAATATTGCTCACCCTATTATACCACTTCAAATGGGAGATAGAACGCAGGCACCTATGATCAAAGACAGTTAGCCTTTTCATGTCTTCCACTACCAACAACCAAGACTCGTCTGATATTTACTAAATTGCGTCATTCTTGTCGCTTGCAAAATATCCTACTAACAATGAAAAACCGAGTATTTCGCTCCTTAAAACTTCATGGTCCTAACCAGTTGCCGAAACTAGAAGAAACGAAATTACCCCAGGCTTTTGAAAGTTAAATGCTTCCGTCCATTTGCTGAAGTCAGATGGAACAACATGATAAGTATCGTGTCCAGACTAAAATTACAGTATAATGCATACTTGGAACCCGAAAGGAAGCGGCGAGTGGACGTCAAGGGTGACATGGAGATCGTGTGAAGAGAAGTTGAAACAGCATGTACTAACATGGATGCAAGTGAAAAGTACAGCAGAAGACAGAAGCAAGTGGAGGCGTGCAGTTGAAGCGCTATGTTCCACTAGGAACCCAAGGGAACAATAATAATAATAATGCATACTGGCAGATTAATCGATGTGGCTGACGATAAGCACCATCAGCGACTAGGAATATGTTACACGTACCAAACTACTATCCCCCCTCTCTTTCTCTCGACGAATGACGTTGTCTGAAGTAACATTATGGTAAAAAAACCTAATCTTCACTTCTCTACGAATACCATCAGACCAATAATCAGAAAGTGCAAATCTTCGCTGAATATTCAGCTATGCGTTTCCGCAAGAACTCAGAGCTAAACATATCTGTGCATTTGTAGTAACGCACAAAGAACACATAACCCGCCTTTCAAATAATATACGAAAAATAAGACTTATAAGATAAGATTAAAAATTTCAATTTATTGTAACATCTGCATTCACATGAATGCATGTTTTATTGACATTTTGAAAGCTTATAATTTTATTTTATATACAAGACTATTTTCATAAGAATTCATGTAAACAAGACTTGAATTCATTCAGTAGATTGAATGCAAATATCAATAATATTATCCCCCTTGGGCTCCGAATGGAACATAGGGCTTCACAACAGCACAAAGCTCCACTTAATCCGATTCTCTGCCGTCCTTTTGCAGCTGGCCCCACACAATTGCCCACAAATGCTCTCAGCATCTCCTTCTCAGTCTCTATCTCCTCCATATCACTCTTGGACACCGGAACTCGTTGTTGCCCATTCGGCTTCCACTTGAAAGATGATCTGGTGAGCGATATGCACCTATGCAGTAAATCTCAAATGTGCTAAGAGAAATATAAAACTCATCCAACTATTATTTTTTTTATCTGATGCTTTACACGATTTTATTTGTAAACAGAAGCTGAGAGAGATGTAAATATTTATGTATATAAAAAATGGCAAATAAGAAATATATTTTATACACAAGTCAAGTAAAAAGAATAGAAAGTAATGGAAATGAGAATTCAACTATTTCACATATGATACAGATAATAAAAGTGTGTGTCAATGAAATCTACGATTTCATTGGAATTGAATTTTCTTTTAAAAAAAATCTTTGTGAAGTAGTAGTAGGAGTGTGTTATAATTTGAAGAATTACAACAGTGTTTTTGTTTTAAACTCACAGACAGTGATTATTTGTAAGAGAATAATAAAAGGAATATTTAAATGGAAATAAAATCATCATCACATACCGGGAAACATGATTAGTGGTTCACTTTTTCCTGATACACCACACTGAATAAATCCACTCTCTGAAGTGGTACCACCACCACCACCACCAGCACCACTACACTCGGACATTTGATTCGATGGATAACTGCTGACAGGACAACGTGTATCCACTAATACAGATAAATTAGATGATGTTTGACTTAATGCATGAATTATAGAAGTGGAAGTGACCAAGGTATTACTGGGCAGGCCAACAAGACTTATATTATTATTACTACTACTGCTATTACTTTCATTGTTTGCATTGGATACATAAGTTGGCATTGATGCAGTGATCGATGAAACAACAGGTGTCGTGATGTATGTCAGGGAAGTTTGAAGGGAATCAGAATGATTTCTAAATACATCAGTACTAGAATCTGCACTAGAATGTGAGTTGACTTCAGTGACAGCAGATGAAGAAACTAGGGGAGTTAGACTGTTTGAATCGATTAAATTTACACAGGTAGGATCTTTTGAATTAGTTGACATATCAAGAAGATGTTCACTGGAACTGACAGATTCTTTAGCAATACTGTCGGAGTCATCATTGGCCTCTGATTTAGATAAAGTGAGACCACGACGACGAAAAACTGAATGATGACTGCCACCGGTTACAAGTTGTTTATAAACAGCGCACGATTTTCTAAAATAGAATAAGGAAATTTAGTACCATAGCACAAATAATGAAAGGAACATGTATAATAAGCATAGGCATAAGCGTAAACTGACCACATGAAAAAAAGGTCAGCCTACTACAAGATATAGTCATTTCGAGGTGGGAAATGATTAGTTTTAATATTTCGCCAGGAACAGATGCCAGCTAGAAAACTGTTAATGACAAGCACATACCTCCACAAGAGACTGGACGCAAAGCCGTTAGGCTACAAGGCGAGCATGCCACCATTCATCACACTGGGTCAGTCTAAATAGTTTAATCTAATGTCTTAAACTAATAATGCCAGTAGAATATACATGGTACTATTAGGACGTATGAACCAGGTTATCCTATTGTGGTGAGAGCAAGCTGCTAGCCAATTGGTTGACATTGATCTACGCTGATTGGTGGAAATTAATCTAGGCTGATTCAACAACCGATCACAGCTGACCTAGACGTGGACAAATATGATTCGCAGACAAGTGGCTCGCATTTCCGAGAAATATCGAAAACGAGAAAGCAGAAGACTGCGTTTGTTTGCAAAATAACCAATCAGAAGACCGCCTTCTTTCTGCGGGCAGAGCCTTATTAATGTACGTAAAATACATATAAATACCTGTTGGTTTTCGTAATAAAACTGATCTGTTGCCTGGCCCTTGTCTTCTGTTGTTACACTATAAGATCAAGAGTTGATTTTAGTCATATGCTACTTATGAGCTGCCTAAACACACTTAGCAATAATACTATGTCCCATCAGCAATCGTTCAAACTCCGTAATAACCAATTCATAAGAAATGAAAATGAAGTTAGATGACATTCACATAGGAAATAATGAAAATAAAATGGTCAGTTTTGACGTAACTAGTCTTTATACTAATATATCAGTCAATATGGCTTTGGAAGCCAGTTAGAAAAGAATTAAATAACTGCTGCTGCTTATCCCGAACTCACTCACAGGACACAGCTTACCCATTGAGGAAATTATTTTAGAAATAAAACTATGTCCCGCATCTACTATCTTCAAATGCCAGGGCAAAATATACAGACAAACAGGAGGAGCAATCGGATCACTAATATCCCCAATTGTAACAGATATTTTTATGGACAGTTGAGGAAATATGGCTCTCAATATATTTAATCCAAAGATATGATGAACATATGTGGATGACACTTTCACAGTGTCAAAAACAGAACGCATCTCTAGCTTCTTCATACATATAAACTCAATAATAGGATGGAATGAAATTTACGTTTGAGTAAAAAAGTGAACAAGGAGAATTGGCTACGTTAGGTTGTAAAATAAAACGAACAGAAGGTAATCTATGCACCAGCGTTTTTAAAAGATAGAGTAGATACTTAGACTTCAGTTCGTCTCATCCGTTATCTGTAAAGACAGACGAAATTAAATATCTAACAAACAGAACTCTAAGTAGTATATCATAAAACCTAAAGAGTGAAATGAAACAGATAGAAGAAGCGTTGGTGCTAAATAACAATCCCATAAGAGATCACAAAAGGAAAAATTGAAAAATAGCAGTGGAACTATTTGACATAAAATATATAAGGAAATATTTAAGGGATCTACAATTTTACTATATAAGGAAGGGACATCTGAAACCCTACTTAGGATTTTTAGTAGAGCAAGAATTAGGGTGGCGTTTAAACCTACAAAATCACCAAGGGAAAGGCTCTGTAAGCTAAAGGACTATATTCATCTAATTAGACAAAGTAATCTACAGAATACCTTGTAATGACTAAGAGGTCAACTATATAGGTCAGACCAGTAGATCGGAGGTAGTCAGATTATCAGAAGACATGAATTTAGACAAGTGTAGGATGACTGACTCCACGAAGATGAGTCATTTCGAGACAAAACTCAGCAATTGCAACGTATGCATTAACACACAATAGGATGGGATAGAGCTACGATTTTAAAATGAAATATAAGTAGGATGGAGGCAGTGGTTGACCACTCAATCTTTGTTCATCGAATCTACACCTAACACATACAATAGGAATGATGTAACGACAATACCACAGACATGGGGAATACTGCTACTAATAAAATTAAAGAAGGATGAAAAACAATATGATTGCATAAACGAAGTTCGAAAATTATGTGAATGCTTCGATATGATTATGAACAATAAATTGTGCTCAGGTCATCATTAAACAGCACACTGTGTCACTATGTGCTTTCATCGAATAAATTTATTTTATGATGGAATTATACTCTAATACAGTTCGCAAGTTCTATTCTTATACCTAAAGTGTAATTACCGTTGGAATAATCTTAAGCAAATCGGGTGCAGTGCTAGAAAGTACTCGTGATAACTTATTTGATTTTTCATAATCAAATATGAATAGTCCGACTAGGTGGCACAGCGGTAAAATGCTCGCTGACCACGCATGTGACCCGGGGTTCGATCCACGGACAACGCACTCTTTTACCTCGCTAAGCCAGTAATAAGACTGGCAAAGAGGGAAGGTTGGACAAGAGGCTAGCAACCCCATCCCGTAAAAATAAATACCACTGTTACCGAAACTTCAAGCCTCTACTTTGAAGCCCTATGTTCCACTGGGAACGTAAAGGAATAAAATAAAAGGGAAAAATTCTGACTAGGAGTAAGTTAATCGGTTCGATAGTGAAATTAGGTGGCTGGGGAACTGGATGATACAGAGTGGAATCACTGAGATAAGTAACAGGAACATTCTAAGTGCACCTTGGTAACAAGTGCCAACGAACACGAAAATTAGATTTCACACTTCCTGTTCACTGACTCTTAACATCCAATAACATGATGAAATAGCACAAATTATTAAAAGCATAGTTGAGAAGAAATCAGTTTTCTCATACTGACATTCATCAATCAGAAACACTAACATGATGAAATTAGCGGAACTGAAGCAAATCATTCTGCATAACCTTGACACTGAGTGGAATGTCATGGTGAACACCACTTTACCAAAGTTTACATAAACATACATCCTGTTAATGAGTACTAATAGACAAACCTTGACCTCGAAGCTTCATATAAACTGATTCTTATATGTCAGAGTACTAATGACTCTATAAGTAACAAACTACCATCACTATACTTTTAAAACTGACGGTTGATTTCACGATTCAGAAGTTACGGTAAGCAATGATGAAAGATTACTTAGTTGCACTTCTGAAATACAAAGAACAACACGTATTCAGTATTATTTATCTAATACCCTGCAATGGTTATGAGATCAAACGCATAAGCCAAAGTAGTAGGACGGGGTGAATTAGATTCGCGAAGCACAAAGGCCTAGCAAAGTGGTGATCAGTTGACGATAAAGAGATAAGAAATCTAGAAAATAGCTCAGCTACAGCACTACATGAAACTACACGCAACCATACAATAGGACATGACAAGGTGACAGTCTTAAAATCTAATGTAATCGAGTGGTGCGGAAGACTGATAATTTTTTTCTATTCTTTTGGATTCCTAGTGGGCTTCAAGTATGAGCCTCAAATTTTCAGTAGCAGTAGTTATATCTTTACAAGGTGAGGTCGCTAGTCCCACACCCAGCTTTCCGGGCATACTGTCGGTTTAGCGAGATTTAGGAGTGCGTCAGCCGGGGAACGAACTCGGAACCACCTGTGTGGCTGACGAGCAGTCTACCGCTGAACCACCGACATGAGACACTGATAACGGAAGCTCCAATTATCAAATCAACTGAGAATATGTGCAACAGGAATGATTCAAAATGTGTCCCGGATATCTGCATAGTTCTACTACCCCTATAATGAACGAGAATGAATAGAGAGAACTATAAAAACCAGGTTTCGAAATTGTTTAGTTACAACTGATATGATTATGAACAATAAATTGTGTTCAAAACGTCATTCAATAAACAATACTGTTTCTTTGTATGTGATATAACCCAATAAACAAAAATTAATATGAATTAAACAGAAAATGACCTTCACGCTAAACTATACAAAACACACTAACCTATGCGCATAGAAATTCGATCGCCATTTACAAACACGACCACATGGACATGTTAACTGCAAAGATTTTGAACAGGAGAAAACATGTTCTGCAAAATATTTTCTTTTGTGATAGGCATTTCCACAGTGAGTGCATTTATATGGCATTAAACAATTGTTGACTTGAGATGCTTAAAGGATGAAAAAATAATTATAAAATACCAAAAATCTAATGATTACAACTATGGTGAGATCCTCTGGAATAGCGACTACCACTTTCTGTTCCAACCTAAATTGTAAAAAAACAAAATAAGTATTCACCTCCCGAAAATCAATTGAAAACTTACTGAATGTGAACTCATTTCCCCGTCTTCTTGACTGATATCAACAAATGCATTGCGTTTATCATTTAAAAATAATGATTTAGCATCATGAAAGTTATAAGTTAATCCTAAGAAGGGAAATATTTATAATTAAATGAAGTATGAGAATATAAAGTATACTAAAAACCTGATGAATAATCATATGATAAATGCTTGGTTAAATTCGGACTGGCATTTTTGATACCATGAAAAGCGAAATAATGTAAAGTTAAATTTTTAACTTCTTTGGCTTTGAATGAACAAAGCAAACATTCGTACATTGGTTCACCTGTGAAGATTGGATTTCCTGAATGATTCTGATATATACACTGAATTGACACCTAGAAAAATAAAAGGGTAAAAATTATCCATCCACCACCTACCTCCTTTTCAATATGATTTATTAATGAATGTTCAGTAAGCACTGGACAAGATGTAGATATCAGCTGACAATGTCGACATTGATATAAACTGAATAAACAATTAGCACTGGAATGAGCAGTCTTAAAATGATTGATTAAATTTGATAAAAGGAGTGTATTAAATGAACAATATGAACAGTGTAATACAAGTATACAATTTTGGTTAATCATTGGGCATTGCATTGCAACATCAAACTATAATATAGATCTACAAAAATAATAATAAATACAAAAATTAGCTATAATGACTTTGAAGTAGTAATCAAAGATATTATTTAAACATAATTTCAGAAGGTCTTAATATATGTATATTTATATATCACTAGTAAACATCCATTGACTAAAACAAAGTCTCACACTTTTCACATGACTACTACATAGTTAACAAGAGTTACATTTTTTTCCTTTCAATGTGAAACATTTTGTTGTGGATTTGTCAAGTTTATTCTTTAACTTTCACCTTGTTTTATAATTGAAGTAGACCTATACTACGGAAGTTCATACTACACAATTTACATTTAGTAAGCAACCATAAGATTTGGATTCTATACTCTCACATACAGTCAACCACAGAGAGAGTGCAAATTCTGGTTTTACTAACTGACAGTATCCGTTAATATTTAAAAATATGAATATTACCGCACTTCATATGCATTGTATAAACTTAACACCTTTGTTAAATTAGATTACGTGAATAGATAACCTTTGGTATGAGGAAAACATTAATATGAAAAAAAAACTACGGACTTCAACTCTTTCTCTCCTACTGAGTCAAAAGACAAAGCTGGTTGTCTAACGAAAACACCTTACTTCAATAACAACAATCTCTTCTCCAGCAGAATTGGCAGTTACTGCTTTTAGTTGCGCTATCATTCAGCTTACTTTTTTTTAGAGTAGTGAGCTATTGCGATATGCAAACCCAACTACTAAAACCACAGCAGCAACTGTTGACTACCGTAGAATTGTGGAATGCATAGTGATTATTAAGGCGAACAACTTGAACGTTGGGACTTCAACAAGATGTCGGATACGTGGTATTAAGAAACTTAAGTTATTAGCACTTGTAACAAACGGCAAAAAACTGAGAAGAATAGTATTAGTAAGTCAGAAGTCTGTTACCCAGAACAAGCTTTTTAGGTACCAATATATGAACTAAGCATAATGTGAAGAATGGTGATACTACCCACTTGCACAGGCTGAATTAGTTGGGGTGGTACTCGAACCCAGGACCAATTCGACGTAAGCAAAGAGCTTAAGCAAAATCAACCACATCTTCATTGGAACATAAGCAAGATGAGGCAAGTAGATTTTGAAAGTGTAGTGGGTTTCAACCTCTTCGCTCCCTATATTGTGAATCTGGCATTCTCTTGGAATACATGCTGGGAAAAGATAGTTTTTTGAGCATGTTCTCCATCTTTCTGTGCTATGTGGAATATAGCAACTTGAACAGATGCCCGTCTGTGCAAAATTGTACGTCGAAAACCCAGCCAGTCAAGTAAGAGAAAACATATGGACTGGCGTAAACACAGAGCTACAGAAGTGATACGTGGTATTTTTAGCAGTAGAAAAGCCTCGCCAAAGACAGCAAGTGTACGGGGAGGGACAATCACTTACAACTTCTCAGGTCTACGTTGCCTAATGAATCTCCCTCAAAGTGGATAACCAGTAGGTATGGATTTCCCGTAAGCTGCAGAAAGCACACTGACTGGCTGGAACTGAATTCTCAACACTGAACATCGCACAAAAGTGCATAAGTTCACTTCATAAGGGACATGCATAGGTAAATGAAAAAATTGCAAATAAACTATAACGGAAATGTACAGGAGAAATAATAGTGAAGATTAAACGAATATGAAAGACCAAAAGGAGTACATTCGCACAACTGAGAAAGATTTTTAGCCACATTCCCGACAGTCTCCAACAATCAGTTCTTAGAGTATCAAGGCACTCAGCTTGGTAGTCTACACCTAACGTGGCTCAAACCTTCAGTGGGAAGCCTTATGATTTGCTGCCACATTTGAGTTTAAAACCCTTAAATCATTGTCGACCAAATCCTACTTTAGCCAACGGTGCTCGACAAGGAAAGGGGAGGATTAGTTGGATAACATTTTTTAGCAATCTCAATTGGTACAGCCTCCCATCATTGTTTGACTTTCCGTTCTAACTAGGGTATTATTTACCACATTATACCATATAACTCAAAACTAATTGCAAAGTATTATGGTCAAAAACTGCCATAATACTACTGCTACACTTCCATCTTTCAGCAATAAGATTTTGTTCGCAGACCCCTTGTCATGGTAAGAAATTTACACTCTTAGTTTAACCACTACCATTGTATGAGATCACAAGGAGAAACACTTCTGGTCAAATGAGCTCGCTACAACCCTGAAGTATCCAAATCCCACCACCATGATACGGAGAAATCTACTGGTCCTGTATTTTGAAATAATAGATAAGATTTGGAGCTCAGGTGGTTCAGTATTTAGAATTTGCACCAAGACTGTATAAGTTATCGACCTAAGCCCGTGAAGCACATTTACATCCACTGCCTCACCACCATACATGCAGAGTCTCTGTCAGGCTATCAATCCCTAGAAAGTACACATTCAGTCTTACTATTATTGCATAACAGACTGGAAAAACTAGTGAGGTGAAGGTACTAGTGGATGAAATGCGGATAGAATAAGCAAATTTCCCTCTAAGGGATGAAAAGTTTGGAAGGAAAACAACTCCAGGGTTTTTGAACTAGTTCAAACTTAAGAACTTATATTTATCAGTAGTTTTGAACCAACACCTGCACTATAGTGCAGTACACTAGCATGTAGAATATACAGGGGCGTATACAAGTCTGTAATCCATGCAATGTAGAACAAACAAAGAGTGGTAAGCGTAATAATCAACCTGTAAAATGACCAATATAATATCCACCAGAGTAGCTTTCCTATTATGTGACTTCATAAGCGAAAGTTAATTTGGCACACCGCTTAAGCGGTGATAAGTTTGGAGATATCCTCGCAGTATGTTAGCTGTTAACAACTAGATAGACATGCACACTACAAGTATGTCAGGGTTTGCACTAATGACCTCATGCACAGCAAACAGGACGTACGTCTGATAATAAATAATCAGACGTTAACTATTGCTCAGTCAAGATTGTGTCATAATTTATCGAATCAGTGGAAGGCCTACTTGCTTTTGGAAAATACCGACAAAATTATAGTCTCAACAGAATTAAACAGACACATCTTTCTTACTGAAAACATATACCGACTAAAACAATCATCCGGATTGGTATAGAGTAACGCATAATTCAAGAGACCGCGCAACAGTTCGAATCTACATTGCTGCTCCATCTTCATTCGTCGGTAGTTGCTTCAAGCCTCTGCAGTGAACCATCTGATAATTCTTAATCGAGACACGGTATTATTAAATATGATAACACAAATAACCATAACTCCATTATTCATTATGAGTCATTCAAAAATAGATTCATAGTTTGTTTTCGGTTTTCTAGCTGATATACCAGTATTTTCTTCCCTAATGGGATACGCTGCATCAAATCCAAACCTGTTTAGAAAGTCTGTTACTGTACTTTTAATAAAAGAGGTTGAGTATAGTAGACTTTGTAGTCATGCCATTATGCAAGTGTTAATAGAAACAGCATTTGAGTTGTTATGAAATGGAATGCAGTAACATGGTTAATTTCAATTTCTTATGAAGAACAGATATATATACGAAGATACCTGCGGATTAGTTCAATTTGAACAAATGTCCACAAGTCATAGGATAAGAGCGTGTAAGTCCGTTTAAATTAAGATTTACGCTTGTTCCATCTTGTGTTTCTGGTCTGGCTAATTAACAGTCACGTCAATTAATGCGCAAACAACCGATTTACAGGTGTGGGCTGTACTGATTGAGAGAGACTCCAATGCATTTTAGCAAATTGTTTGCAATCATCCATTACATCTATCCAACTGAAGTATTTTGTCATTTGTCTTCTGTTAGTGATTCTTTTTTCACCACCGTGAATTTTGGATAACCTGATTCTTAAATAAGCTTGTGCTGGTAGTTAATATTTGCTCCAAAATCCCTACGATAGTGACCAGCTGAACTGCCAGCTCACTAAACTGATACATTTAACCAAATTTGAAGCTATGAAATAAGAGTATCTGATGGTATATAGGTACTCTTACCTTTTCTGAAACAGCTGTAATGATGAAACCTGCCTATTTCTCTGATGTTCAGTTCACAGTTTATAAATTTGAGTAAATTTTCTCCCCTCAATACTAACGGTTTCTTTCAAAAACAACGGAGCAATTTTTGACTGTCTGTTCATGGAACAGTGTCTGAGATATTTTGAATAGCTGGGAAAAATAAATAAATTTATTCTCACAGTACAGTACATGAGGGACTCCAGTTCACAGGCATCATCAAATTGTTACAGAAATAGAACCATATAATATGATAATATGATGATCCTACAGAGTTCGAAGTCACCTTTCTATACATGGCATATGAAATGATAAAAGCTTAGTCAAAAAGGTGCCGATAGGCAGGACATTGATCGATGCTAATAGTCAGGAAATCTATTATAAATATTCAACTGAGTGACATAAATAGGTTCTTCAGGAGTAATTTTTCGACTATTCTGCCGCTGTATATGAATAGCCTTGTTATATAGGTATCACTGTAAACGTGAATCTACTTGTTGTAGTGCTAGCTTGTTGGTTGGTCTCATCAGTTGCTTGTTTACACTACTGGTATTGAAACGGAGGTGGTTGCTGTAGAACTGTAGATGCCTTCACACAGAATTTTTCTCCTTGCCTCCTTATGCTTTTTCCCTGACTTCTTATTTAGTCTCTTAATACACGAGTGTTTTGTGTTCTCACATACCCTCCTGTTCCCAAATGTCCTCTTCAAAGAAATGAACAAACGTTTGTGGTGCTGGTTGATGGAGTATAGGATCAAAGAAATTCATGAAACTAGCTGGATGTGTAACAAGTAGTCTTCCTGTGGTTCAAAGAAAGTGGTCATTAACATGAAGTTTTAATGGAAACTGGAGGGTATTATGTAGATTGTATTATGGTTGTGAATCAGCGTAATTTCTTGTAAGCCCATTATATTGTAATCAGTAAAGTAACAGGCAAGCAGATAATGAACGTAGAGCACTAGCTGAGCAGAGAACGTATATCCAACCTAGACGAAGTTTTAAGGAAGCGATTGTGGAGTTTAACAGTCTTTACTGTCTTCGTTGAGATTTGATCCTTGTAGTTGTTATATCTCCTGGTTCAGGTAGTTGACTCCAGAGTTTCTTCTTGCATGGAGAGAAAAAATAGTGGTAAGCGTTCATTTTTACAAGTTAGTTTCATTACAGTACATCCAGGAACGTGCTTAAGTCCAGAACTGTTTCTTCGCTAGCTGGGGTGTAGCTACCCAAAAGTCTGAGATGATCTGTGCACCTGATGCTCCAAAATAGTCTAAAATCAATCTCATAAGCTGTGTTTCATTCCAATTGCCTAAACAAACAAATTGCATTATTTCTTCACTTCAGTGGCACATCACGTGGACAAACTATACGAATAAATTTATGACGAAGTATAAAGTGCTGGATGCTTTCTGTGAAACGCCTTTCAGCGTTTCTAAGGGTGGGTAACAGCTCCGACTGTCAGGTCCGATATAGGTTTTTCACTGAAAGTTGCCTTTAATTTACTTAGAGACTGACTGACGATAAGTTCAAGAGGAGTCAGAAGCCCTGCTGGAGCCGGTTTTGTTACATATATGTAAATCAAAGATCTGATAATGATATACATCCAATGTCCTTCACACGCACTTAGCCAAGCTGATAGTAGGCAGATGTGTAGATGTCTTATTTAGATATTGTTCTACGTTCTTGGTTGTACTCACCATTACAATAACCAGGACGCAGAAGATGTCCAAAGACATTTGATGTGCGATCTACTTAAATATGTCGATGTAGACTACATATCAAGACGGCAAAGTTTAAATCTTGCCCTACATTGAAAGAGATAACTAGCTATAAGCATTATATTCCTCCGTAAACTCCTGTATAAAGTGTCATTTCCAGATAATGGAACTTGCGGTCATTAACAGGTGGATAATATAGTTTTAAAATGCTACTCTTTGCAGGCTTTATAGTCAAGCGTGCCGATGGTGTGTGCTACTGACAAAAATTTCTGAGTGGCATATTTTGCTGTCTGTAAAATCTTGAGTGGCAGAGTGACGGAGTCAAAAAGAACTGGTGGAAACTATTGTGAAACAATATGCATAGCCTGAAATAAAGACAGATAAGCAGAATACGAACAGGTTATGCAAAATGAAGTTTCAAGGCAGGACTTTTACAACTTTTAGTCACCAAGTCACTTTACCGAACAAAATATTCAGCTACCAAACCCTACTGTGTTCTACCTCCACATCAGGCTCTTTGGCCTTTAACTGGATAAAGGTCCCATAGCTTTCAAATTTCGAAAAGGAGTCATCCCGAGCTTCCTGTAGGACTTAAACGCGTTCATAGTTAGTGCCTATTCAGAATTCCGTGCCTAGGACGATGGGGCTGAGGACACCTCCAAGACGTTTGGTGAATGCAGCACACCACACCACGGACCATGCAGGTTAAGAAAAGATCTGGGAGTAACTGCTGGGAGACTGGTGACGAAATACGACAACCTGACGAAACAAGCAGTGCATCCGTGCAATAGCATGAATCTTGAATAAGACGATGACCAGTGGCGTCGACTACACGCCATTCACTCTTGATAAAGTGTCCCAGTTAAGGTTATTGACATCACGGTTTATTGAGAATGATGCACGGGTTATTTCATAGCAACCACAACTGGTCGACAAGGCACGATTCATGTAAATTTGCTGGCATAAGAAACTATTCAGACAGCTACTGAATACAACGGCAGCCTTGACAGAGCGGTCAAATGGGTGGTACACAACCAGGTGGCATTTTGTGCCAGGATTGTTTGTTTGGCGAAATGGTTAGTAGTGATAGCGAAATGTAAAGACCTAATTCTGAAATTTTAGTTTATATAAGCTTGTGGTAATCAAGGAAATGAGTATGACTGCATAAAAGTATAGATTACCGAATGACTGAGGTGATTAGTTGTACAACACTCAAATCTGCCAGTAGAACTTGCTAGCTCGATAGAAGCGTACAAGTATTTAGGTAAACTTAGAGTGGTCTGAATTGAACCGTACTATCTAAGTCAAATGTCGTAAGTGGCTGATGAGCTCTGTCTTTTGATGTTCGGTCTGGCTAGCAAGCGCTACTGGTCAGTAGTACGTGGTATTATGGACTAACGCTTGCTTTCCTGACTGCTGGTTGTCGCATCAGGAGAGGCATGCATCCTATCAGAATTATTCCGGTTTCTAAACGATGTTGCGGTGTAATATCACCTTGGGCTGTGTAGACCGCAAATTAACTAGCAAATCGCGAATTCAGTCCTTTGAATTGCCATTTCGTGCAGCAACTATCCAGAGGACGGACGGCTCGTGTTGCGTATAATATTCCTTTTTTAATGACCAAAGTTGTACTGTATATGCCATTTTGCATGTTGTGTTGCGTTAATTAGCCCATTTGTGTTTCGTCGAACTCTACTGCGTTTCTTGTTTGAATCGACATTTTGTTAGTGCAGAACCAATTTTAGGGTCGGCCAATGCACTCCTTGTGTTCGGACACCGAAAAATCTCATATTTGAAGGTTCGTGCCATGTTTATCTGTCTCATTTCGTTAAAACAACATTAATATTGTAGTTCTTCAAAATTATGTTGTCAGTATGATTCTGTTCGAGGTATTTGGTAAATATTAGTTTTGGTCGAGTTTCTTTGAAACAACTTGGTTTTACTTCTGTTTGGGCGAAGACTGCAAGCCTGTGTTTTCAAGAGTTATTCGAGTGGCTCCTGTAACAGTTTGAAAGGATTCTGCTGTCTGAGATGGGTCGGACCGAGAACACTGCTAATGAGGTTAGACCCAAGCAAGTGAAACGGCCCTCCGGTGTCTTGGGCACTTCGGCGTGGCTTGTGAGCACTACCATTGTATGTGAGTAGCGTACAACTACTCATCTCAATCAGTCATTGGTATATAGTTCCATACTCCTATCCTGTATCCTGTTTCTTTTGTCACTATTCCACTCGATGTTCACTGTTTAACGATGGTTTTTACATTTTGCTCTTATTTTAACTTAACCCATTGCTCTTCCATTCAAGATTTCACAAGCATCACCGGTGTACCACTCACAAATTCTATCATTAGCACAAGCCAAACTTGGGCACGTGGAGCCACTCACATGAATAAATTGGGAGATATGACTGAGTTGTATTGTTTGTTTATTCGCAAAACGAAATCATCCACTGAATTCAT